GTGTAGGAGACAGATAGGAGCGTAGGAGCTGAGAGAAGAGGAAGCACAATGAGGCTGCTGAGAGTCTGTGTTGGAGTGAAGGGAGACAAGTGAGGTGGGATCAAGAAGAATCATAGAATGGTTTGGGTTGGAAGCACTCTCTGTGCTGTGACAGAGAGACTCCAGAACCAATCTCCTCTACCACCAGTGGCAATAAATAAAATTACTGACAAAATAAAGGTTCAGTGCTCACTCCTTTGCTTGTTCTGTTGAGAAGATCCATCTTCATGTCATCTACAACTCCAATGTGAGAGCCAAAACAAGTATCTCCAGAGTGCAGAGGTTCTTCTATAGAGTACTTCTAAAGAGATCAGTTATTTGCCCTTTACAAGCTTTTTTTTACTATGCAGACTTTCACTAGGAGAATGTCCTATATTTCCCCTGTCAACAGCAGTTAAATCTTGTTTGGAAGGGGAAAATGGGCTGCCTTAGGAGCAGTCTGGTGCCTTCAATAGCTCTTTTAGTCTCAATGTTACCTGCATTATGCAAGACCAGCAAATTTAAATCCATCTCTATGGCATGCCTATGGCTAAAGCTTTTTTCTTGGTAAACACATTGATAACAATGAACTGCACTGGTAGCTTTTGTTAACACTGTGGAAATTATTCCAGGCATAGACTGCAGTTTGATAGTCCCCACCAGTGAAAAAGAACTGTTCCCTTCAGCCCAAGAAGCTATCACATCCTACTGGAATAAAACATGCCAATAGTTTATAGTGTTGAAACTTTAAATCATATAGAAGAGTGGTAATGGAGCAATTTTATTTAGATAGTTTAACTTCCTTCATGCCAGGATTTTGAAGTGGGAAATGATATAAAACCACCATAGTGTTAGAGAAGATAAAGCAGAATGTCAAGAACAATGTATCTTTCTTTCTCTAATAGGGTGCACAAACTTATAAAAATAACTGTGAAGAAAAAGTGTCAAAAATTGTGTTCAATGATTTTGCAGTATTATTTTCATTTCTTGGTTTCTAGAAATAAAATTGGATTTTCTTTATCCTTCTTAACTGAGCAACCTTTAAATTTTGTAGAACAACTTAGGCAGTCGTACTTTGCAGGGCTTGAAATAACATTAGAATGCAGACTCAGTCTATGAAAAACACCTACGCTGCCTCTCCTACTGCTGCCATCCCCACAAAGCTACCTGGAATTAAATGGATGTGCACCGCAGTGCATTTTCCTACCAGTGCCCATCATGCTTCGGATCTCTGAGCACCCAGCTAAACAGTTTCCAGAGTTTCTCTCACTTTCAGGTCATTTTCAGGTCACCTATGTTCTCTTCCTCTTTCCTTTGTTTCACAAAGATTCTCTTAGGTCCAGATGAGGGCCAGGAAGATGAGCAGAGGACTAGAGAACCTCCCCTACTAGGGCATGGACATTTTCTTGCTGGGTGCTTGTATGTGGCTTGCCCAAATATGTCATGTGATCCAACATTGGGCCTCTAATCCCTGCAGTGATTTATACTGAACCAATGGGGATAAACCTCAACCATGTAAACATGCTCCTTCGGCACAGCATCTGCAAGCCTGAAGAGTTGTAACTATTACACATAACGTATCAATGTAGAAAATAATTAGAAATCCTAGGATAAAGCTTCCTGTGGTTTTGCCAATCTTTTATGTTCAGCGTGGAAGAAAAAGCACATTTTCCTATATGAGAAAAATTATACCAGAGAAAGCTAGGTCAACATGCCTAATGAAAGTAGTGCAAGAGGAGTGCACCAAGCAGGAAAAGTCTGTGCAAGCTGTGAGCACTATGAAAGTATTTGTGTACATTCTTTTAGTGATGGCAGAATCTACAAATGCATGCATCTGTGGAGTTCGTCACCTCCACAGGTCTGCTCATCTGATTGCACAAGCGAGTGTTTCCTGTAAACCTACAGATAAGCTGTAAACAGCTTAGCAGAAGGGCTCTTACAACTGAGCTTTTTACTTAGGGAGTGATCAGACAATTAAGAGCTGCTGGCAGATGCAGGTGGCAGAATGCTTTGGTGAAGCTGAGCCACTGAGTGACTTCTGAAGCTACAAAAAAGGATGCGTGGGACAGCTGAAAAAGGAATCTCAGGACTGGTATTTCACTCCTGATCTTCAGTGTAAGCAGCACATAAAAAATTCCGTAAATTGCCATAAACAGATCAGAGGTCTCCTATATAATCATCCAATGGCAGCTGTGTAGATGACAGTATAAGAAAAGTCCACGAATAAAACTGTTTTTTATCCCTTCCCAACATCCAGTAGGGTGTAGCTTAGGGAGATCCGGGGACAGTGGTTCAACTCCATGTTTAACAGCCCTTCATAGACTTTTGCCTCACAGCTTTTTTGAACCAAGACTTTGGTAAATTGTTATCTTTATTCAAAACAGTGTTTAAAAATCAAAAAGGAGGATGTGTCAGGACCTCGGTTTGGAAAGCAGTTCCATCAACCCTTCCCCATCCTTTCTTCCCCACAGCAGTATTTCTTTAGGATGGGTGTAAACAGTCTTGGGGACAGTAACAGAAAATCCTGCCCTGCTGGAACTGATAGCTGAAGCTGAGGCACGTACACTCACCTACTTCAAAGAATGGACTGAGCCCAGCCAATTCTACAACAGCCAGGTCCCCAAGAGAATACCTGAATACCAAAGTCACAGTCCATCACCTACTCAAAGCTCCACTGCACATCGCCTATGCAACCTATGCTCAGCAATTCCAGCCACATAAGAACAAGGACATACAGAGAGGAGTGGAGCTTCATACTTTAAGTGCAATCACCCTTCAGGAGTGACTGAGAGTCCTTTGGAGGCTGCCATTCTACATAAGAGAAAGTCCATGATTTTTTTTTTTTTCTCCTTTGGACCCTCCAAGCATGACTGCAGGAGACAAGACAGCAGGTTATACAAAATTTCTTCACAGCAAGACTGTATTATTTATTAAGCAGTATGTTTCCCAGTTAATTCATACTTTTATGAAAATAGAAGGAAAATAGAGTTCTTGGTGCTTCCTTTAGATAGACTGTATCTCACATTTTGGTCAGTAATCTTGGCACATCATAATTCTCTCAGACAGATATTCAGTCCAGCCTGCCAAATATCACTTAAAAACCCAAGATTAAGCAGCTGAATTAAAGTGTCTTGCTTTTCTCAATTTCTATTCAATGAGTTGTGCTCTGACAAATGTAACAACTGATGAAGACGTCAATATTTGAAATTATTTCATATAATGACTGAGAAGCTTCTCCCAAAAGCCATAAGAAAGAAAAAATCCACTGTGCATTATGTATTTATCATTCTTTAAAGCTGTTACAGAAATTTAAGTTGCTCTACATTGTAGATCCTTCCATGATATTTGCAGCTAACCATTAAACAGGACTACTAATAACAAAGATGAATACTTACCAATAATTTTGATGAAAAGTTATTTTGCTCAAAATTGTTTAATCTCCTCTGTTTCCCTGTATACACAGGGAACCATCAGCTGCTTTAGGAGGAAATAATTCTACAAGGACAGGCATCCTTGACAATGTCACCACTGTATAAGTAAGTGTAAGTATTTTTTCTTTTGATAGGAAACAAGAGGCCATTGCTTCATTTTTATGTTTATACTGTGCCAGTTCTGAAAGTTTTTCTTTTCTTTTAAGAATGTGTACACTAAAAGAGATCCATTCCCACTTTTCTCCAGTCTTCAAAAGCATCTTCAACCAACCACAAGCTTCTGAAGATGAGGCAGTTTGCATATTTGCATGTAGCACATCATCATAGTTTCTGAAGCTGGTTTCCCTAATTTCTTGTATGAGAACTTTGCTTGTAACTGCAAGATGCATTTCTTTTTTTCTGTTAGAGCTGAGAATAGCTCAACTACTACCACCAATGAAGAACTTCCTCTCAGCAGGACTGTACAAGCAGTTGGTATAGCTGAAAGTAACACTGTGATGTTCTGGAGAAGGAAAAATCAAGTCTGCAGCATCATGGCTGCATTCTATTCATGAGGTTGACATACCATCATCACTGGGGAATAAAATAAAAAAAGGAGTACATGGTCTGTCACTTGAGCATTTCAACATAAAGCATGCATGCAGGACTGAAAAGTATTACAGACATTCTGACTCCATGTGCATTTTTGAGTTGCAATTACCTTGCTTCCATGATGATGCTTTTCTGAGATATTTCTTAGAACTCCAAAATGACACAGGAGATGGAATAAGCTGTAACACAAAATCTCCAGGTTCTACTGAATAACCAGCAAAATACAGCCCACCAGCAACTGCCTGTGTCCTGAAATCTGGGAGCAGCAAAAAGATTATTTGGCAGCAACACCGTCTGCAACAGTGGACTCCTCTCGCTCAATCTTAGTGCATAGTTCTTAGAGAACTTTTTTATTTTATCCAGATCTCTCTATTTCCAACCTCACAGCGTATGTTAAAACCTCTTAGAAACAGTTACAAGAAACAGAGGCAGGGAAAGTTCCTGTATATTTTATCTGAAGTGAGAAAGGAATTCCATGTTTGTCTTGTATGGGGTCTCTACAACTACTTTAGGAGATCAGGACTTCTGCTAGCAGAACCAGTTGGATTCAGAAACATCCATCGTAAGAACTGGGTTGAAATCAAGAACAGCCCAGTCCTAGGCATCCCTTCTTTCTTCTTTAGTGCACTGCACAAGGAAGTTCATCACCACCACAATGGAAACATTTCCAAGAGAAACAGAGAAATCTATGCATATGATTGGAGACGCAGTTTTCCCCCAGCAGATGCAACAGCTCTCCTATTCATTTTGTAATATACTCTGTGGTATGGCACTGATCAGCATTCCTGTGAAAGTCCTGTCAACACTCTTTGTGCTTCTTATGTGTTAAAACTGTAACTAGTTTTAACGCAACTCTCTCTAACCAATAGAGCAGCAAAAAGAAGGCTTGAGATCTGAGAACTGGAGTGCAGAAGTATGGGAGTTTTGCCTGTATGTTTTTGTTTTAAACCAATTACAATATATCATTAAGAACATTTATTTGGTCAACAAAGAATTCCATACAAAATACCAGATTTCTGACAAAATCCAACAAAAAACAAGAGCTAAGACAAATGCAGGGCTGTAATTCAGAACACGCCTCCCTCGTGTGTCAAGCCTAAGTTATTCATATCAATCATATCCATAACAAGTCTTGAACACTGGGGGATTTTAATTTCAGTGTTTAACTCATCTCTTCACATCTAATGAGGAGTGAGGGAGGTAGAACTGAACTCAAAATGCTGATTTACAAAAACATGGTAACTACTAGGAAAAAACAAAGTCTCCAAACTGCACCTCAGATTTGGTTTGGTTCAGCTGACTGTAGCAGAGAACACCAGACACAATGGGCATGAGAAGTTAATTTGTGACATTCTCTGCTGTGATAAAAGGCACAAAGGCACACAAATGTCAGTCACATCTAAAACAGTGTGCTGTTCCCTTGCTCTGCCATGGTAATAGTGCTTAACTCAAACTACAGATCTTCAGCACAAAGCAGTATGTAACAGCAGTGCTTCGCAGTTAAAGACTGATATATCTTCCTTCAAGCTTCAAACCAATAAGGTGTTTTCATTAGAATGACAAAAATAATTGTTGGCATTTGCCCAAAAAGCATTTTGTCCTCTTAAGGATCTCTTTTGCTGGACAGATCTATAATAGACAGGGCCACATCAAGTTTCTCCCCCAAACTCCCCATCTCCTTCATTAAAACATCTTCCTATCTAATTTTATGTCAGAGTTGAACTCCTGCCAGATAAGTATCAGTCTTGAAGAAGAACTTCCTGCTTTATTATATGCATTTGAAAAAAGAATTCAAATGGCCAAGCTACAGTAATTTGATATGTTGTGTCTTGGCCAGTGGGCTCCTGGCTCTCAAATTAAAAAAAAGAAGAAAATCAAAAGATTAGGAGACACAACACTTCAAGCTGTGTTGCATTAAGCTGGATCCAAACGCTGCTATATTAAAAAAAGATATAAAGAGATATAAAAAAGATATAAAGACTAAAGAATACCTAGTCTTAGAAACTAAGACTACTTAGTTTCCTAAATGGAAAGAGCTGACAATTTGTACAGTCCTTTTCATTTTGTAATTGCTATTAATTTTTTCCAGTTCATTAGGTATAGATGTTGTCATATTTCTCACCTGCATGGTCAAGGCAGGCTGACATCAAATGAGTGAAACAGACTTCAGACAGTTAAATTACTGTCTCCCCCTTTTACTAATTGGCAATGATATGTATGTAAATGAATTCTGACCATTCTGACCATCACAACAGGTGATGTTAAAGGAACATAGGGCAAAAAAATCACTTTGTCTTTGCTGGATCCTGCCCTAAAACCCATCCAAAAATGACATGAACAGTTGATGCTTCCAGCAGTACAGCTTGAGGCAACTGTCCCTACAGCTCTGTGCCAAGTCAGAGCACAGTCCAGGTACTCACAGCTTGAGGGGAATAATAGGCCAGTATTTGGGCTGTTTTTTGTCACAATTTCTATCAAAGATAAGCTGCATGGCAGTCTCCATAGCTAGGATTTTGGCAGCTTCATCACCGTACAATTTCTCCATTTCTGCCATTCTTCTCGCCCCAGGTCTTTCTGCAGGTGGCTCCACAGAACGCTTCATGTTTCTGTAAAGGTCTTGATCAGCCTCCACGTACATTTCTTGTTGCTCAGCTTCCAGTTGCTGCTGTCTCCCTAGACAACAGAAACACAAGTAAGTCATCCAATCATATTTTATTTTGACTTCTAAAATATTACACATTCAAATCTGTGGTGAGTCTAGACAGCCCAGATCCACTCATTTAGGTTGCTGCTAACTTCTTCAAGGGAAGATGATCCTGGAAAACACAGAAAACTTCTCTATTAGTAATAAAAAGTAGTAACTAGTGTTGCTTCAGTTCTTCCCTGATGTACACAAGTCCTGAAAAGAAAAAAAAACCTGTAAGAGTTGGTTTCCAAAGTAATTACTTAGCAGCTGAGATAACAAAACAATGCATAGGACAGTGCAACTTTAGCTGAACCACAGCCAAGAGAAAATGTAATCAGTTACTACTCTCTGAAAATGAACAAACCAGTCTGTCATGCCAGTGTCAGCCATCAAATGTATCCGATGGAACGCAGCTGTAAGCACTGTGTTCAGACAAACTAGCCAACCTCATCCATTTTGCACGACCTGCAAAGTTCAAAACTGACAGCTTTACTGTCATTGCTTTAAAGACAAGACAAAACAACAGCTAACGTATATCCCCGCACCACATCTTTTAAAGAGGATTCAGAACAGTTCAGAGAGGTGAAACGCTTGGACCAATCTGCCAAAAATCCTCTTTAGTAAGCCCAATTTTGAAGCAAGAAATTGGTTTGCACACATAAGGATACCCTCACTTCATGAGTGCTTCTCTGAAGGAATAAACAATGCTCTAGGCAGTTAAAACACAGCATGTGCAGGACTCCTCTCTCATGGGAGACATTCATACACGATGAAAAAAATCACTTGGGAGGGACTGAACTTCTTCACCTACCAATAACAAATGATGGTTCCTAAAACTGCATCACAGGAATGGTTATTCACTGTTAATGTGAACACTTTTTTTAAAACAAGCAGATGAGAGGGACTGAGTTCACTGGTCAGGATGCATTAATCACATACAGGACATACTTCTCATGTTCGGTGCTATGGACCCCTTCTCTCCTTCCTCAGAGAATGAATTTAGCTTCTACCAAACACACGACATCTGCAAACCCTAACCCAAAGCTAAGTATCCTGACATATCCTTGTCAAACATCTGCAGTTTATTGTTACACTGCAAAGCCCTGTATGCAGCAGCCAACTGTCAGACTTAATGAAAGAATTATCCTCTGTACCTCATTCACAGAAAATAGGTATTTTCAACAGTGTAAGAAGAAACTTCAATGCTGGCATCTGCTCGTCAAGAGAGGGACAGGGAAAGCTTCTGTCCTGCCATTTCCACCATTCTCTGTTGATAGAGGAAGGACAGCAGAGCTTGAGGGGCTATTGGAATCATAGAATCATAGAGGTTGGAAGGGACCTCTGCAAACCACTGAGCTAACCCCCCTGCAATCTACTCCAAAGAGATGCTTCAATTTCAGTGCTTCTTCTTTAAGGGTACATCCCCAGAGTGTGCTGTATTGCCAGAACTCAAGAGGAAATATACATTAGGGGTCCATGTGCATTTCTGGAAGAGTCAGATTTACTTGGTGTGAGGCCATTTCAACCAGAGGTCTTAATTAAAACTACTTACACCACCCACAGAGGGCCCAGCATCATGAGAGCAGCTTAGAGCTCAGGTGGCACAGGTTACTTAGATTGCATGGAAGCAAACTTCGTGGGACACCCGGCTGCCCACAACTAGGTAACATGCTTAGAGGACAAACCTGCTGCAAATTATGCAACTCATACTACATATTCCTTGACAAACCCCAACAATCTATGCTGAAAAAACATCTCCTGCCACAGGTTATAAAGCAAAACTCTGGCAGGGCAATGAACTGAACCCGCATTTGTTGACTCCTGGGTCACAAAGACAATCCCTTCTACTTCTGTACTGTCCATGGGAATTACTCATTACTTCTATAGCTGCATGCTAGAAACAGCTGCTTCTTCACATGCCTGAGAATATCTCTGATAGCTTGCTGCACACAGTAACACTTAACAGTTAATTTCTCTGGAGATATATAATGAATCCTTCTCTTTAGAAATTAAATATGTTTCTAGCAGAAGCTTTATGATGGATGAGTAGATTACAGTTTAGTGTGCATCAATCTCTATTCGAAGCACAGAATGGCTCATAAACCCACAGATCCCGACATTAACAATCAAAATAATAATATAAATTATAATTCTATTCTCTGAATTACCTAATGAACCTCTGAAGCATACATTTTACATTATGCTTTACTAGTTGTACATAATGCCATTAACTTCCCACCCTAACTAACTATTCCACAGCAACTGGCCAGAAAACTCCCTGAGCAACAATATTACACAGTCCTAGATCTAAGAAAGAGAGTCTGGGCATGGGCAGTGGACAGAAGTCTGCTCCCCACAGCTTTTAACTGCATAGGCTGAATTTGAGCACAGAATATGGTAGCTGTTGCCAGTAATGCCACTGCAGTTGCATGGAAGATGTAGTTTCCCATCGCTTATTTGTGGAGTGGTACCACTGTGAGAAGTGTCAGCACCGGCACCATTTGGTACCACGGTAATCGTGTAAAGAGAAGCCATGGAATAAAATGGGGACGTAGGCTACTGCTTTTACCAAAGCAGTTATTTCCAGCCAAATATTGAGATAAGAAAGAAGTTTTGTCCTGGTGAGAAGCATACTAATTACATCTGGTGGACAGGGAAACAGAACTCCCCTTACTTCCAGTCAGTCTGGGTTCTGTTACCTCCAAAATTACTTTAAAAACAATACAACTTGTGCTACATCTGCAGCTACTGTCTCATCAAAAAGATGACAATAAGCCTCTGATAATGGAAAAAAAAAAACCAACTCAAAACAATATAACTGTAAGCTGTTTATAGCAATAATAGGGAAGAATCTCTGTGAAGAAAGCACCAAACATTCGTCTACAAATTAGACAGCAAGGTTTATTAAAAAGCTAGTTCTCAGCCCACAGCAATGAAGTTCCCAGCTCATTTTCAAATCCTAGCTCCACACTCCAAATTTGTCACTGTGCTGTCAAGCAATAAATGTGAAACAATTTTTTCTTTTTTTTTTTTTTTAAAAAAAACAATTCTGAGCAGTTTCTCCTTCACTTCACACATGCTGAAAAAACAAAAAACAAAAAAACAAAAAACAAACAAACAAAAAAAAAAAAAATCAAAAACCCCCAAAAACCAGAGCTTTCCTTTATAGCATTCAGTTGCAACTTCTGGCAAGCTTTACTTCCCCCTGTTGTGAAAAAGCATTTTGCAAACGGTCAAAAGGCAGGCACAGCACAGCAGCAGTGTTTGGTTGCTATACCAAGGATAAGAACTGCTGACGTTTTCTTGACTGGCAGTTCTGTTTGTTCCCAAACATTCTCCTCTCCCTCGAAGCAATTTTCAGAAGTAACTTATCCTTTCTAAGTCCACTTCTGCGAAGCCATAGCTAATAACTGGCCAAAAGCAGTTCAGACACCTTTTTCCAAGCGCATGAAGTAGTTTTTTCTTCACCTTTCAGGAACACCAAGATCTCTACCCAAGTCATACTGCATTCTGGGACATCATCAATTATTCTAGGCCTCCTTTTAAAAGAAGTTTTTTTTCCTCCCACTTTTTCTTTCCTGCTATGGATATCCGCTTTTAATTTTGGATATACTAGGTGAAAGAAATGTGAATGAATGCAGGCAATGACCTTCATACTCAGAGGCTGCCAAAAGCAGGATAAACAGTAAAAACATCTTGGCTATTCACTGCATTTGTGGCTTCATATGCACACAATTTTGCATGCTTTCTGTGGAACTGGGACCAAAGCTCTTCAAGATGTAAGCAGTTTCCCCTATAGGCTCTCAGAAACTCAGAGATCTTGTTCCTCCTATTTTATAAGAAGGTCATACACTGTTAAGTCTGATCCACGTTGTTTTCTTCTTTGCTCTTAGTATTCTGTGAGAAGATTAAGAAGCAATCAAAAAAACAACTATGGGATTCATCCTTTTCTTATTAGAAAAAAAAAAAAAAAAAAAAAAAAAAAAACAACAGGAAAACAGAAAAAAGGACAAAACAAAAATCTCAAAACCAAAATGCAAGAAAATTCCCTTATTTGGAGACAAGTCTTCATGAAGAGATTTTTCCACACAAAGAGAAGATGAAAGCAGGGCCAGTAACTATCTATGCTGAATTTTCATTGAAGGCAGTGAAAAATTCACACCCAGCATCCTATGGCATCTTGTACCATTTTTAGCTCCTCGTATTGATACGCTCAGCCCTTTGCTTGCTGTAGCCCAGTGATCACACACAAGCTGACAGCACTTCTCACAAGGCAGCTCTCCCTGTCTCCACTTCTCTGGGTGCACATCACCTGCAGCTGGCTGTGCTACAGGATGCTGACCTGCACCATGGCAGCTACACCACGACACCAAGGCCTTGCTTGCCCTATACGGCACACAGCCTCCAGTGACTTTTGGTTTCTTGCCTATCTAGCACATTACTCTTGAAGGAATTATTTCACTTTTCCCAGTCTCTGTTCTGCTTTTTCTTTTCCATGCTTTCAGATCGACCTATACCCCTGTACCCCTGTTCACATATTCGTCTGCTTACTTCAAGTGATTAATGATTTTGTTACTGCTGCATGGGCACTTTCTGAGCTTTCTCATCCTGTCTTAAATGCTACCTGAGCTGAGGTTGAGCAGCCCACGCTAACAGCATTTAAAACGCTTCCCTTTCCTACTGATTAAAGACTCCTAGTTCCCTGCCTTTGAATGCCACTTCCCACAAGCCTATCTGCTGTGTTAAATATTCTGCCCACACAGGCTTCTCAATGCAAAATGCCAGATTCTTCAGCTCCTCCAGAAAACTAAACAGCTCTACAGTGAAGTTACACGGTTTCTCTGAAGTGATAGCATCAGACCATTTTATTATGCCAGTACTTGTATAAACCAGGCACACCATATAGAAAACCCCAATCTGTACCTAAAGGAATTCTAACAAAACAAGGATTTCAATTTAAGAATTTGCCAACAGGATACTCAAGGAT